GGCTCAGCCCTTCTGGGAGGAATGCCCCATAACTCTACCCAAGAGAATCTATAACAAGCAGCCTATGTTTCTTTTGAAACAATACCACTGTGCTGCAAGAGACAACACTGAACACCAGAAACAGCCTTTGCTGAGTTCCTAGTGCCTGGACCCACTGGAGGGAGCAGTAACTCAGACTCTGGATCCTGTTGCCAGGACTCTGTGTATTTTTCATTAGCCATTGGAAAAGCTACAGAAATATTCTAGGGGGAAGGTAACTGGATTGCAGTAAGCTTCCCATACAAATTCAGGCACTTACAGTCTCCACGGCACCTAACCAAAGTGGACAAGGACTTCTTTCTACCATTTTCTTAGGCTGGGACCATACTTAAATTGTGTATCAGATCTTTAAGTGCTCTTTTGGATTTTGCTCCTATGTTGGCTAAGCTCCATTGCTTCAAATTTAAACTGGTTTCCATTTACGGGATAAACAGCAAATAAACACGAACAGCTACAAATCTGATTAATCCCACTGAAGTTCTGTTATTCAGCTCAGGGCTAAAATTGTCCTCACTCTCTATCCATGAATCAGGCACCAGTAACAGAGGAAAACAGAGCCCTCTGCTGCAGTAGCTACGACTGCCTGATGTGCAGTAAAGCAGCAAACAGCATCCAGAGAAATTAAGCTGTGTACAATTGATAGCAGCTTGGGTGCCAGTCAGGAGCTCAGGCATGCTGAAATCCCACCTATGGGCATGCAAAAGATGGAACCAGGACCAGTCCTTTCAACCTACAATACTTGGAAATGATTTGCATTACTGTGCAGCTGCCCTGTTCTCTTAGCAGTGAGGCCCGTGGGAAACAGTGTTCAATTACTTTTGGCTCAGAGATTTCTCCCTGCAAGTCTCTTAATAGGAAAGAAAAAGTACTAAGACCTGTGGTAATTCCTGCCCCCACACTGCGATGAGCAAAACCGGTCCTGTCAGCATATAGCCACCACACTCAGAACAGAGTTTTTGATGTGGAAACAAAGAAAAGCCTCTTACGTGGTGTCCTCCCACCGCTGCAGACACTGGCTGTGAAAGCTGTGGTTACACAGAGTGGTAAGAATCCCGTTCACAGACTCATCCATCCTCTCGAGGCACACTGTGCACTTCGGGAGCTCTGTCAGATCCATCACAGGCAGGCTGGCCCCCTTTAAAAGAACAAGCAGAGACAAATTGCTCAGCACCCTCCAATCACCATAAATTAAGCACCTGCATTGAAAGTCAAACTTCTCTCCCATTACCACCAGCACTAGGGTACAGTACAAAGCAACCCTGCGAGTCTATGCAGTGGTTACAAATTTACCAAGGTAAAAAGCAATCCACAGCCTTCAACAGAGCACAGCCCCATCAGAGCACAGGGTGAGGAGGCTGCTGCAGCTGCCACAGCCCCATGACATTTTCTGGATCACTGCAGCTGGCAGGTTTAGGTCAGAGATGCTGCAACGGTGAGGCTTGAAGCCTATAGAAATCACCAAACAAACCTTTCCATGTAGAAACAATACTGGAACAGGAAACAGATTTCAAACTGATACAGTTAAACACTTCTTGCAGTGTTCTGCTCAGAAGAAGTAATCCTGTTAGAACTCTCTGAAGTCCAGAAAAAAGGAAAACAAGATAAAAACTTACATCTTCTGACTTGAAGACTTCAGCCCTTTCCACGTACACGAGCTGGCAAACATCCTCCTCTATGGAGTTGAACTGCCGACCATTGCATGCCATGTAAAAGCTATCTGCATCAGCCTGTGCACAAAACAAGGGGAGGCTGTTGAAAGAAAAAGCCCACAGCTGACACAGACAGGGAGGAGGAGACATCTGCTGTATCCCTGCTTCTTCTCTCCACCAGGTCCCATAACAGAGGAGAAATTTCAGAGAACCAGCTCCTGCCAGCAGGCATCGCATCTTGGCACCGGGTTTAGTGCTGCCACTTGGAGATGGGAAGCAAAGCTGACAGCAATGATGGTTACTCTGATAGCTGAGTATTCAGCAGGAATGACAGATTTCCCTTCAGCATCTGCTTTGCTTCCTGTCAGTGATTTCAGCACATTTGCAAAGCAAATTTGGTTTCTTTGCAAAAACTTCAGAGCATCACGTTGCACAGGACACTGACACTTGTGTCGGGGAAAAGAACGATTCAACTGTGGGAAAGGATCCACTGCATCAGGAACAATTCAGACGTGCTCCAAACCATCTGCGGGAGCCACCAGGTAAAGAGGCAGAACACAAATCAGATCTAACAGATGTCACCCACTTTCACTCAGCCACCTCCCTTTCACCTGGCAAAGGATCACAGCAGGCTGAGAAAAAATGAGCTGAGCACCACATTCCCCTACTGCTAACCACTGGAGCCAGGTACACAAAGGCACACAAGATTTGTTTTTGCTGCATATAGAGACAGCCGTTAGGGGTCACTGGGGAACAGGGCTTCAGGAAGTTTCTGAAGCAACTGCAATTTCAGGGTGAACTGACCATGGCTTTGTGGTTTTGATGCAAGGCTGCTCAACACCAGGTATTTGTCCATCACATTTTATACAGCAGAATGCAAAACACATCTCTGCAGCTGCTGCAAATGGCACAGACTGCATTCAAATGCTGCGTCTACACAACAGGCATGGAAAATGTCTCAGGCAGCACTCACAGCTAGGGAAAGAGCTGACCAAAACTTCTCTCAAATCCCCATAAAGGAAGGTGCAGGTGAGAGCCCACATAGAACATAATGGGGGAATAGCTGTAAGCAGCACCCTGTGTTATCCAGTGATCCACTCACCCCCAGGCTGCCCGTTTTGGGGCAAGCTGTCCTTCTCACACTGTACTGGCAGTGGCTAAGCCATCACCTCACTCCTCAGAGATGTTTATTAAAATATAAAGTGCCATTGGCTGCATTCTTTCTGCTCAGCAAAGCACAACACCACTCTGTCTGCAAACGTGCTTGGAGGTAGCAGAGGCAGTTTGTTTTTACGTGCTTAACAGTTTTAAATATCCTACCAACAAGAAACAGTGGACACAGAACATGACACACGCTTGTCTACAGGACAAGGTGCCAGGTAAATCCCTGTCAGTAGCCCCAGGAAAGTGCTGGGCAACAGGAAAGGACTGCCCTCCTACCCAGCACCTATAAGGCACTGCAGTCCCCTCTATGGCAAAGGGACTTCCAGCTCTTACCTGGGAGCTAAACTTTATCAGCACCATGTACTGGTTGGGAGTGGAGTCTCGGATGATTTTCATGTGCTCAATGACTTCATAGAAAGATGCCACAAACTTCATCAGGTCGTGACTGGTCATGGTGGCAGGGACTGTGAGGATACACAGCATGGCACTGCGCCTCACATCTTCTTTTAGAGAGGTCATCTTGCTGCAAGACACCAGTTACACAGCATCACGTCATTCCAGAGAGGTCAAAGCTGCACGTCGCACTTCCACCAACTGCAGTTACAAGGATAACTCTGCTGCCGATCCAAACCCTCTTTTGCACATTTGTAAATGCTAAGAAGGAAAAGGCTGAGGTAGGAGCCTAAAATGCCTGCATGAAACTATTACTCCTCAGCAAAGTATTAGAATGGGAAGCTTCAAGCAACATTGGCTTTGTCAGGAGTATTTGGTCATCTGCTCTTCCCTAAAAAAAACCAAACAGCTGAGCCTGGCAAGTCACAGATGCTCAGAACTGTTCCTTTAACAAATGAACAACCCTTGCTGCTATTTCAAATGCTCCTTTTGTCTCTGATAGCTTTCAAGACGACCCAAAATGGAATTTCTCATGCAATTAGAAGGGAAGAGTGTGGAACTGTAATCCCTGAAATACAGAATGAAAGCTCCCACCTCAGAGAAGTTCCTCAGGCACGCAGCCAAAACCCTGGAGATAACAGCTTAACTCTGGATCCCTCAAGAAGCTGCACTGCTAGGAACCCATGTTCACCTCACGTTCTTACAGCAACTTGGCATACATGCTGCCTGTAGGAGTGTTGCCCACAGCCAGAAGACCCAAGCCCAAGCCCCAGCTTTTCCCCAAGGCTGGTGGCAGTGTAGGTGTAAGGCACCCTTCCTGTTTGTCCCTGCACAGCCAGCTCAGGAGCCACAGCCCCAGGGTGAGCAGCTCACCCTTCCAGATGACCTCATTACTCACCAGCGCCATTCCCACTAGAGCTACAATTAGTCAAGCATTCTTACTTTGTTTTGTACAGATGCATAATGCCATGAACGATTTCAACTGACGGATTCCCGCTGAAGAAGGAAATCTGGTCAGGGAGCTGTTTTGAAGGCGAGTCTGGAGCAGCCTCACGCTCTTTGTTTTGATCATCCTGTTTATTTTTGTCCTCAGATGACGCAGCCTCTGAAGATTTTCTTGCTTCCATGGCAGCTTTTGCTTCATCTTTCCAAATAAAAGCTTTAATTACCACACATGAGAAACATCTACAGTTCTCTAAGCACAGCCTGACACAATACTGCAGACTCTCAGAACTCCGCTGTGCCGGATGAGATCCAATATGAACCGCTATCAGCCAGGACGGCTTCCACACAACGACACAACCTCAGGGCTTAGAAGGGATCTCTGCAACCCCCACCCTTCCCATCTCCTCCGGCGGCAACGAGCGTTGGCACATCCGCATCCCCACCTTCAACCCAGGGGCGATTTACAGCCCGCCCGGTGCCGGTACCTGCCCGCGGCCGGATGGTCTCGATGATGATGTCGGTCATCTCCCTGCGGCCCAGGTGCTGGTGCAGGATGGCCGCCCTCTCGCCGGGGCCCTTCCCTTCCAAGCAGGCCGGGATCGCCCCGCTGCTCTCCGCGGCCATCTCCGGAGCTGCGCGGGAGGAGAAAGCGTTGAGGCAGGCATCGGCGGCAGCGCGGCGCCGGCCCCCGCCCCGCCGAGGCGCTCCCGGCCCCGGGGCGCCGACTCACCGGCCGCGCTGTAGGTGAAGCCGGCGGGCAGCGGGGAGAGCTCGGCCAGCTCCAGGCGGATCACGACCAGCGACACGCTCATGGGCCCGGCGCCGCGGGACCCTCCGCACTGCGCTGCCGGCCCAACGGAGACCGAGCGCCGCTTCCGCCTCGCGCACCTCTGCCCTCTCACCCCGCCGGGGTCACGCCGCCGACGCGATGACGTCAGGGGGCGGTGGGGGGAGCCGGAAGGAGCCGAAGGAGGGGCCTCGGCGCCGTGGCTCACCGCGAGGCTTAGCCGTGAGTTCTCGCGAGACTTGGCGCCGCGCTGCCTGACGAGCCCGGGCTGCGGTTGCGGCTCAGGACCGGAATGCGGCCTCGTGTTTGCAGAGGGGGGAGGCGACGTCCTGTCACGGCCGGCTGTGGCGCGTCAGCACGGCGGCACGCTGCGCACAGGGGCGGGCCCCATTCCTTTCTGCCACAACGCCACCGAAGAATTTCCTCCGCACTGCTTCCATATCTCTGCACTCAGAGCCCGCCGCGCCAGTTTCCCCAGAGGGCAGCACTGCGATCCGCGGGACACGCGGCTCGGCGGTCCTCAGCGGGCTTCTCGCCGTGCTCCCTCCGGTCCCAGCAAACACCTGAGCAGCGCTGCCTGCGCCCCTTCCCCGCACCGGGATGCTGCTGTCCCGGGGCCGTGGCTGCGCAGGCGGTGAGGCTGGAGCTGGTATGGAGCTATGATCTTTGATGGAGCAGAGCGCTGCTCCCGGCCCCCCAGCACACGGCTGCAGGAGTGCGTGCTCACAGCGTCTTCGCTCTGGATTCCTGTACACGAAACGCATTTCACGTCTCCATCAGACACTTCCGTGCAGAGATGTGGTGGTGCTGCTGCCCGACGTTCCCAGTCACACCATTAGAAGTGCTGGAACTGACAGCTGTGTTGACATCTGCAGCTCAGGGCCCAACCACAGCTGGAGGTAAAGCTGACCTGCAGGACTCTTACAGAACCAGCTGTTTTCACCCAAGGGCACTACACCAAAAGCGGGTTCGGGGTTTACACCGAAGTAAAGATGTGGCCCATCACATCAGTTCTCACAAGTGCTGGTCTTACACATCAGATTTCAGAGCTGTAGAGGAATTTCAAGCTTGTTTCCCAGTTCTGACAATGCCGTATGTGCTCTCTCCTGGCTTTCTTACTTTTCTCTATGTAGACTGGGAGGCCCAGAATTGTATTCCAGCTGGCACCGTCCAAAAAGCTCTGCACTCTGGAGGTGAAAACAGTCTCTCTCTCAAGTACACAAGAGGAGAGCTGACGACTGTGGAGTTTTTGCAGGAATTGGGACAGCCAGCGGTGCTTTGAGATTGTAAGCTATATCCCCATCCCTCTCTTCGTGCTTCCTGACTACAGGGAAATGGGACCCTGCGACATGGGAAGCTGGTGGTTCGGTGAGGATTGTAATTTTAAAGGAAATCCTCCAATGGAAGCTTTTGGGTTTTACCATTAAAGAAGCATCACTGTCTCAATAGGGCTGGCAGCTCATTGCTGCTATCATTCTGCTGCCAAGGCAGGATGGTGAGCAGAATATACATTCACTTCCACCAGCTTCCTCTTCTGTATTTCATAGTTTCTGATACCAAGAAGCACAAATCAAAGAGCAGCTGAAAGGCTTTTGCTTCTAGCTGGTGCACAAACATACTCCATGGGTGGAGACTGGTCTCAGTAGAGATTTCTTAAAACCAGGAGAAGCCCCTCCACCATAGCTTTTGTTTGCCAGCTCCAGGAGCATTATGTCAGAATCCTCTTTTTAACGCAGTCTTTTTGAATCTAAAATGTAGATTCCTTTCCTGTCTGTTAAATGGCACTACAGTGTTTATCTCCAACCTGCCTTGATTCCATGACAGGCACAATCCTAGCACATTTCTTGTTCCCAAAATCAGCCCCTTAGCTATGCTGCTACTGTAGAATCTGAGAACGCCCATTTCTTTGGTCTAAGCAATTTAGGTGGGAGATTCACTGTCTACCTTCTACTGCCAAGGGAAGTAGGACAGCAAGATAAGACGATCAGGCAGCCTCTCTGCTCAGCCATTCCTATTTTCTTCCCTGCTTAAAAACTGTGTATGACTAATAACCATTCTTGGGGGGTAAGGGGGCTCTCTCAGGCAAGTATCTGTGTTCCAGTGAACTCTTTCCTCACCAACTTAATCAGAAGTGAGATGATAAAACAGCTCCCCATAATGGCAGAAGCAACACAGTGTATCCATGCAGATGGTCTTAAGATAGCTCTTCTAAGCAACAGCTTCCAGCAGCAGCCAAATGGAGAGAGCTTTCTGCCCCTGGACCAAAAGCATTTTGATGTGGTAAGCCCAGATGGATTGTAAAATATATTTCTGAAGCTAGGTTTATAGTAAAGAGCAACTGAAATTCTTTACTTACAGATACCAAAGGGAGGGCCACCCACAACACGTTAGTAGATATAAATGTGGCAGTCTGTGAAGATACATAGCTTGCTGTAGCGCAGATTGTCTATCATTGTGGGGGGGAAGTACTGCTTGAATTTGTTTTGGCTGTGGATACAAAGATCTCATGTCAGTCTCCAAGTTCAGACAGATGGTTTTGGTCAATGCCTCTTCTGCTGTAAATATCACTTTAGCATCGCTAATAGGTGCAATGGTCAGAACACCACTTGTCCCTGTAGCTCAGATGGTGATGGTTAAAACAATCAGAAAGATCAGTAGAATTGTGATACAAGATGTATAATGACAAAGGGACAAACACAATAGAAAGACATTGTAAGGGAAGAAACGAAAAAGACAGCTCACCCACCTCCAAAGATCTCACAACTCACAACTGAAAACTCCACAAAGGAGGGATCTCCAGAAAGAAATCCTTCCCTAGTGGCAGTCAGCCCTTAAATCTAAGGTCTAAGAGAGGTGCAGTCAGGCTCCACCCCTTCTGGTCACACAGCTGAATTGCCTTCACCTGTGCTCCCAGGGCTGACCTTTCCCCAGGTGCTCAATCAATGCTTCAGGCCAGGACTCAACAGTTCCCAGAGAGTGGTGCACTCCAAAACTTTCTTAGACAGCTCTGAGGAATTGGTTCAGCACATTTGGGACATCTATTGAGTCTTCTACATCATGATATTGTGATATTGTTTCATTGGATATCTTCTGTCCAAAGACTGGCTGGTCCTGTTCAGCTTATTTGAGCTGATGGAGCCACAGCCAAGGCAGTTGGCATCCACGCAGCCACTTGAATCGTATCCTATCCAGCTCTGTCAGCCCTCCGTTCCCTGCATCCTTTATTTCACAAATTACTGTGCCTGTCAGTCTCACTCCCACCCTGCTATGCTCTGTTTCCAGAACTGCACAGATGTTTGTGGTCACAGCAGGCTCATGCATAACCCATTGGTTGTCACCACAGATAGCTGAAGCTTATCGGGAAGGAAAGTGCAAGCCAGATCCTCGCATCTACAAGCTGTGCTTGGAGCGCTTGGATGTTCAGCCTCAGGAATCCATCTTCCTCGACAGCAGCAGCCAGAACCTGAAAGCAGCAGCTCAGCTTGGTATTAAAACAGCGAAGGTACGAAGCAGTGCACACAGGGCAAGGGTATGGTATCTCAGTCCAAAGCTTCCAAAGGAAGCTCTGAGCCTTCGTGTATCTGTCATCAGGGGAATGGTTAGCTCTCAGGATTTGGAGATAGCGAGTTCAGGCATTTTACTTTGGTGAGGGGACCACTGGGGAAAGGACAAGTCAGAGATGGGTGGAAACTCTGCTCCCCAGGATGGCACACAGGGAATGCCAGCTCTTACCCCAGCCCAAACTGGCGCTCTTGGGGACAGAGACCAAGGTGAGAGGCTGTGAGTACTGGTAATGGCACTGTGTGTTGGCCAGGACTGACCAGTGAATTCCTGTGTGTCCAAGTGTATCAGTGCCATTGGACTCACAGATAAATGCACCACAACTGTGTGGAGCTCCTTCTTTCCTAGGCAATTGTATCTTCTAATTATCATTCTGTGTCTTTCCCTCCCTTCTGCTTTCAGGTTGATGATCTTGAAGTAGCATTCAAAGAGCTGGAAACCTATCTGGGTTTTCCTTTAAAAAGGTTTGTTCCATATACTCGTTCTATGAGACCAACCATGGAAATTCCAAAAGACAGTCTGCAAAAGTACCTTGAAAACGTTTTCAGTGACCAGGCAACAGGTATTGCAGCACCTTTTGCTCTTCAGCCTGAAAGCTCACATGTCCTGGAGTGATTGCTCCTTTCCATTTTATATAAAAAAAGTGGATTGAAAACCAATATTCATGAAAGTCTCCTAATCTCCAAGCAAACATTGCAGCCATACAGGCTTCAGTGGCGCAGCACTGTTGGACCAAAAGGCAACATTTAAAGACTTCATTATTTGTGAGGCATTGAGAAAAGCTGCAGAAGAAACACCAGGAGTATTTCTGACCTGTAAGGCACAGGCACATGAATGAAAAGTAAAACCTGGAGAAGCGGTGAGAAATAATCCCACCTTATGCTTTGTCTGCTGACCCTCTGCTCTCAACTCTCCAGGTCTGCTGACGCTGTGGCAGTTTGGCTGTGGACAGTCTGCCCAGACCTATTTTGTCAAGTTTGGAGATCGTTCATGGTGCTGAAGAAGGAACTCCTTGACAGTCTGCTTCCTTCAGGTCCTGCTGTTGGAAGGGAATACAGGTGAGAAGGCAGCGTGCAGTTAGGACCCTCTGCCTTTGAAACGCATCCTCTGCACTCCTACTCTGCAGATTCCTCCAAGCCACAAAGCACACACACAGCTCTCACAGTGCATCAGGAAAAGTAAGATCTTGCTATGGCAGCTGGAACCTTGAGTGGGAGAGAGGTTGCAGCTCAACAACACTGCAGTTGAGCAGCAAGGAGCCTAGCTGAGGGCAAGCCCTTGCTGGTGGAGTCATGCTGCAAACCAGCTTGCTGTGCCAGAGATCTGTGCCTCAGCAGCAGAACAGCATGACACTTGTGGGAGGCTGTTGTGTTTTCCAGAGTGTGTTGGATAGGTCTCAGGGCTCTGGGCCATACAGAGATTTTGGTGTGCTTCTTCCCTATATCTCAAGCCATCTCATTTTAATGTATTTAAAACTGAACACTTGATTCTTTTAGATACTGTGCATCTGCCTAACAACAACACAGTTCTAGTATCGATTCCGAAATGCCTTTGTGTGCTGAAACAGCTCTCTGACTTACCCTGGCAGGGTACTGAAGGCACTGAGGCTGGTGTTCCGTTCCTACTGTACTTGCTCTGTGTGAGGACAGAAGGTAATCGTGTCCCTCAGCTTTCATTTTTGGCTTTATAACGCCAGCCACAATCCCCCAGGAAGAAGAGAGGAGTGCTTATACCAGGGTGGATCAGGTGTGAGACCTCAAGCAGCAAACAGGTGTTTTTGTGGACGTGTACCATGAAGACACAGTGACTCCAGGGATGCAAAGGTAGCTGTGAGCCTGGCAGGACCCCTGCAAATGACAAGCTCTTATAGCTTATCTCAGGGAACTGGACTGAAGCCTGCTTGGCTCTTTGGCAGTTTCCGCATGTGCCTTTTTCGTATCTTTTATGAAACCTCTTTGTGCCTGTTCTTTTCCCTGAGAGTCTCCATTCCTTTGTTACAGGTAATTACATCCAGCAGCAAGTTGATACCTGGACAAAGCAGTATCGAGCTACAGAAACACGTTATTCCAGCCATGGAAAGACTCACTGAGTGGCTGCCTTTGCATTTTCCTGAATCTCAGAAGACAACAGTTGCGCATGGCAATTTCAGGTACTGCCCTCTTGGTTTCCTTGGCAGTAGGCTGCTGCCCTCTCCTGGGGGTCAGGCTGTTAGAAGGCTGTACTACATATGATCTACAAAACATGACAGTGGAGGGCCTGACGTTACTTAAAATGATCACATGGTCCCCCTGGACAGTGACATGCCCGCTTCTTCTCTTTTTGGCTAGCCTGTCCTCTAACATGTTAATGACCTGAGGACCCAAATAACTTTGTTTCATTCTTCAAAGCGCAGTTATGTTCATTATTAACCAGGGAGTTCACTATTGAGTAATTTCAGTCCTCTCTGACCTATGCATGCTCAAATTAATGTTTCACTTGTGCAGCCTCCCAAAGAACTCAGCAATTTTTGCACAGTGCAGACTGCTTCTGAGTACTGGGATTTTCTCCCTCAAGATCTTTCTGATTTCTTTTTTTCCCTCCGATACAGGCTGGACAACCTAATCTTTCACCCAAAGAGGCCAGAAGTCCTTGCAGTCCTTGGCTGGAAGTTTTCAATTCTAGGAAATCCCATCTCCAATTTGGCAAATAACTGGATGGCTTATGGCTTACTTCTTGCCACCTCAGTTCGACCCAATGAAAGGTACAGAAAGGGGCAAAGTCACATCTGACACAGAGAGAATGCGAATTCAGAAACAGATTAACTCCTGCTCTTAGAGGGGTCAGCTGACAGTTGGCTCATTGCAGTTGGAAAGGGCTGCAGGTCATGTACTTTATTCCCTGTTCTGCTCTTTCTCTGAAGAAGCCTCCATCCCTCCATGGCAGAAGCACTGCATGTGCAACGATCGCTGTGCCGTGATCGCTCTGTCCCACGTCTGGTTTGGTGAGGAAGTGGTATGAACCCCAGTGTGGGCTCACTGTCCTGGGTGGGGCTGGCAGCCTGTCAGTCAGTCACTGTTTGCACAGTCTCACCCCATTGAAGAAAACACTTGCATATGTATTTCACCTAAGTGAATTGGTGCCAAACCCCCGTTCTATGTATGGAAACAGCACAGCAGCAGCCATTACATGACTGCAGGTGTCTCCACTGCTCCACAGCTTGCAGGGCTCTGCTAGAAAGCAGTGAGCTTCACAGAATCTGCTGACTCATTGTTGCCCTTTGTGTCATCCAGGCTTGGCAAAATACGATTTGAGGCACCTGGGAGTCCCTACAGCAGAGGGGTATTGCCAGAAGTACTGTGGCCACATGGGAAGGAGCTCCCTGAGAACTGGAATTTCTACGTGGCCTCTGCTTTCTTCAGACTGGCTGCAATGCTGCAGGGACTCCACAAACATTCTCTGACAGGTGAGGAGCCCAACCACACTGGCCCTGCTTTACAGAGGTCCTCAGCCAACAGCACAGACACACAGCACTTCATGGAGAGCTCTCACACTGAACTAGGGAAGGTCAGACCACCAAAACGTGCTGCTGCAGGGTTGGGGCACTTCTGGCTTTGCACGCTGAGACCTCTGAAATTTCAGGCACTAAAGTAAAATGAGGCACTCCTGAGAGTTAGTTGGATCAGCAGGAGAGCAAAGCGGTTTTGTGTTTTCACTGTAGTACATTTTGTGGTCGAGTTGTGTCTTGCAAACAGAAAAAAAGGCCAAAGGGGAACACACACACACACAGCGTTTCCCCAGCTGCTGCTCTTTCCTGGACGCAAAGTCTGAACTGGGCTTGTTTTCTGTGCTGATTGGAGGTTGCTGTGTGCTCACTTCTTTATTGGGAGGGCTGAGCAGAGGCCAGAGTTCAGAGCTCCTGCAGGTGGAGCTCTCAGACGTTTGAACTAAGCCTCAGAGGGATTTGGAAGCAGGGAGGCAGTGTGTACTTTCATTGCTGATTACCTGCATACGTCAGGCCCGGCCTGGGAGTTTTCATCAGAGAAAAACAAGATGTTATTTTGGAATTCCTTAGAAAAGAGTCTCCCTGAGTCCTGCTGTGCTGGCCTGGACAAGGACACAGGGCACTGTTTGAGATGTGTACTTCACACAGCTTCTCTGAAGCTTAAGCATCTTACTCTTGTCCCCAGGGAGGCCAGCCTGAGGTAAAAGCTGTCTGGAGCATGCAGAGTTTGTGGCTGATCTGGCTTGGGATTTTTGCCATAACAGAAGGATCCCGTGTGTTTGACAGCCTCTCCATTGCAAAGCCTTTTGCACAACATTACAGTACCTGGGCCAGGCAAGGGCTGTAGCAGGAGCCACAGTACCTGGACACATCCTGGGACTGTCCCTGTGCCTGAAGTACCCCTGATCACTTCCTTCAGCAGCCATTGGGGGTGGCCCAATGTCTTAACTGCAAGCTGGCAAGGATCTTGGATGTCCAGTGGAGCTTTCTGATTTCCCAGCCCAGATGCACTCCACATCCTGTTCTAGAAAAGAAGGTGAGACCTCTTCCTTCCTAAAGTAGCTTTGCTTTGCTGTACCGATGCCAGAGTGGAGGATTGTGCAGTGCCTCTAAGTGTCCTTGCATTCTTGATCACATCAGACACTTAGCACTCATAAGGTCCAGTGACTTGGAGAAATGGGGCCCGTTTCCTTTTCCTTGCTACATTCAGATAACAAGAGTTCATATTCTAGAAAATGGCAATTTCAGAAGCTGGCACTCCCTTCCAAGGTAATTAGATTATCACCAGGCTAGCTGTAACTGCAGATGCTGCTCCCTCAAGCTGCTACCACCAACACTGATGGAGTCTCCAGAGGCTGGCTGGCCTGGAGCCTTTCAGCCCAGTGCTGTCAGTCCAGTGCTTGCTCACTCCTTTCTCCCAGCAGGGCTGTCCCTGCAGATTCCCCTGTTGGCAACCAGTTGTCTGCCCAACGATAAACTTGTGATCCTGCCCTCAGCAGTGCAGGCTCTGGGATGACACCTGGACTTCAGCCCTGCCACTTTCTTGGCCTCTCTTGCACAGAGCAGGTGCTGCTGCAGCCTTGAACCCTTAAAATGGAGAGGCATTGGTTGGTTTTGGTATGGCGGTGAGGAGGCAGAAAGTAGCTACCAAAATGACTTTCCCATAGTTGTGTGGAGGGTGAGTGGTAGAGAAGAGACCAGCATCAAGTCTTGAGTGGTAGAACATCTGCCAGTGTGAGGCATTTAGGGCCAATATGTGGACGATATGAAGACATTTGGTCTCCTGCCCAGGCTCTCCAAACTGATTTCTCTCTGCTTACACTCCCCAGTGCTACTGATGAACATGGTGTGGTTCAGTGTGCATGTGACTCTGTGCTGACTGATTTGCTGGGAGTGGTACCTTAAGTAATCATTCACAGTGTGTCACAAAAGAAAACAACACTAGTCTTGAGCTGCCACTGGGATTACACTCTTAACCTATTCTAGTGGCATTGTCAAATACTAGTGGGTTACTTAACTACCTTTTCACTGCCAAAAAAACCCACCCATCTGTTGTTCAGCCTTTCAGAAACATTTCCTTGTGCTGTGCAGAAACCAGCAAAAAACAGCATTTCAGAGTGCTCAGCAGCTGATTCTCCAAGAAGATGGAAAAGAAGGAAAAGCAATGGCTCTAGGCAATTTAGAAATGCTGAGATGAGCATATTTTTTTGCCTGTTTCCCAGGCACTCATTTTCAGACCTGGCAGAGTCAACAAGTCTCCAAAATCAGGGCTGCAGCCTGGCCATGTGGAGAACTGGTCCTTGCCTGGCAGAGCAGACAGACCCCTCATCTTGCCTTCCATCCACCCCACTGCTTTTCCCAGTGGTATCGCACTTCAAATGTCAACCTTTGCTATGGAAGCATGTCATAAAGGCCAGGCGAGGAGGCCAGAGTGGAGTCCTGCTGCCTGCAGGGGAAAGATAATGCAGCAGAGCATTAAACAGCTGAGCAGTCCTGGCTGAGAGCTGTCGCAGCAATGAGAAGCTGGGCCAGGGCCAAGGGAAGGGCTAGCTGGCACTGCAGGGGCAGGCTTCATCCCTGACTGGGGTGATGTGCATTTGCTGAGACAGGGAAACCCTGGGCTGATCCTGCCATGTCCTGTATGGGAACCTGCAAACTTAGGTCCCAAAGACTGCCCATCCCTACATCCTCTCCATGGAGAGAGCAATGCGTCTCATCCTCTTCCACCAGCACCGAAGTAATGTCTCTGATGATGACTGTGCAGGCCACGGGTCAGGCTAGTCAGGTGAGCAGATATATACACCTAACTTCTGATCCTTCTGTGGCCCAAATAAAGCAGCAAAGGGACACCCCAGGGTCAATAACCCTAAGGAGTGGTTTGTCCTGTCTGTTGTTGCAGATCCCAGGGAAGGAGTTGAGGCATTTGATACTGTGCTTCCTTAGTCCTGCAGTCCTTTATTTGCTCTTCATGGTGTTAATCTTATTCTCACACAGGTCTCTGGAGCAGAACATCTCAGCAGTGTGTTCTCCAGCCCAGCACTCCACTCAGACCTGAGCCCTACATCTGGCTGAAGTTCCCACATGGTTCACAGGACAATGTTCTCCAAACTGGAGCTGAGCCACTGCACTGGGGAGCCTTGGAACATGTAACTAAAACTGCCCGTCTGGCATGGAGAAGGTTGTGCTATCTGCAGCCTTGAAGCTCGAGAATTTCAGTGGTATTTACTGTTATCTGGGCTCAGTGCCTTTATTGCCAGATTCAATAGGTACAGGGCAAAATCCCTCCCTGGATCATGATGCTGCAGACAATCAGCAGCCTTGCAGTGGGGAGCACTGATTAGAAACAGCCAGGCTGGGGTTGCAAGTCTTGGTTTTGGGAGTATAGGAAGCAGAGTGGAGCATCTCTCCTTAGCACAACGCCTCCAGCAATCTGAGGGTGCCAGAACTCCAACATTGAGAGGAAATGAATCACTGGCTTCAGAGCAGATCATGGAGCTGAGGTCCATGGAACTGGGAGGACTCCCTGACCGTATGACTGCAGTGGATTTCTCTGGGTTTCTTTAGGGATCTGGGATGATGTAAACCAGATTAGTGGAGGCTTTCAGTGCTTCACAAAGATCAGCAGCAGGGAAAAGACTGCGGGCTTGATCATAGTAATTCCTGAGCTTTTTATGAGTACACTGGTATTAATTTAATATTAAAGTGATGGATATACTTCTTTGAATTCACATGACTAACAAGTTCAACTCTTTAGTATTCCTTTGCTCCTGTTGGAAACACTGTGCTGGGGACAGTGGGATGCATGCCTGCAGCTTTGGCCATCACTGAGGCTGACCTGGCAGGGTCCTTGCACTGACTCATATCGCAGTGCCCGATGCTGGCTCCTCCAGTGCACAACCTTGCAGCCCACTTCCACAAAGCCACATTATTCATCTGCCCAGGGTGGTCACCTCATCCTTGCTGCCAGGGGCAGGATAAGTGCTGCAGGGAAGCCCCGGGATTGCTGTGCTGCTGGCTATAGGAAACTTTGTAACCTGAGCTGTGGTTTTTCCTGGGCTGAGAGTGAAATTCAACCTCTCCCCGTGGCATTTGGCTCTGCTGTAGAAGGGGGAGGGAATCTCTGGGCCTGTACCTGCCCAGCACAAAACAGACTGCGTGATTTCTGAGCGGGCATCTGGCCTTTGTACCTCCTAACATCTCATCTTGCAACAGGTAGAACACTTGCCAGCCATTGCAGGGCTGAAGGTTTGAGGCTGCCTTCGGCCTCATGCATACCTTCATGCATTTCCTCCATTACATGGGATTTTAGCATTGCTGGGTTTATCTGCTAAGTCCCAGGGAAAGAAAGGGATGTGCTCAAGTTGAGCAAAAATAAAAATATTAAGCCACAGATGTCACTTAAGCCCCATGTCACTGGTTGTCCATCCAGGTGTCAGCAGAAGTCATGCATAGGACAGCTGAGAGCACAGTGAGAGCTTAGCCCTGTGCAAGTGTATTTTGGAGGTTAAATGCTCCTTTCTTAGTGATGTTGATGGTATCTTCAGAATATTTCTGGAGCATGTTAATTTTTTGTGGACATAAGTATGTCGAAATCACATGAGTCATCTCAAGCAAAACAGCAGAAAAGATCTTTAACCACTGTTAGGAGCAATTTTTGCCAAGCATTCATTTGCATGCACTGAGCAACCATCCTGCTGTGAGAGTGCTACCCTGGCATTGATTCATTTGCCCTATACGCAGCAGGGCTTTTTTTTAGATTCCTGTGTGCCACTAAGGGCAGCCTGTCCAGGTAAGCAGAGGTCCCCGTGCCAGACACCGATGAGATGTGCATCTGCAGGGCATGCGTGCCTTGGCTGCGCTGTCCCATGTGTGCCCCGGGTCCAGCTGTGGGCTCTGCCGGCCAGAACCAAAGTGAAGCAAAATGAACTGAGCTGTGCCCAATTGAGCCACGTGGGTCCAAAATCAACTGAACCAACGTGGGCCACGCCAAACTGCGCCGAACTAAATGAAATTGGGCCGAGGTAGCCTGAATGGAGCTGAGGTCCGCCGAACCGACCGACGCAAACGGGCAGACCCGAAGTCGGGCTGAGCCGCGCCGACACGGGACGGAGCCGAGGGGGGAGGCGTGGCGGGGCGGAGCGGGACCGGGCAGCGCCGGGGGCGGGCGGAGCGGCACGGCGGAGCGGGACTGGGAGCAGCGCAGCGATGTTGCGGGTGGCGGGGTTCGCTTCTCGGCTCTGCCGCGGCCCGGCCCGGCAGCTCTCGGCCGCCGCCGCTTCCCCCATCCCCGCACCCAACCCGAGCCCAGAGATCGCCTACAACAAGGTATGGCCGGGCCGCGAGCTGCGGGCTCCGCGAGGAGGCGGAGAGCTCCGAGGCCCAGGAGCGGCGCGGGCGGCCCGGCTTCGGCCCGCTTGGCGATGCGCGGCCCCGGGGCGGAACGGCCGGACGCTGGGCGGGATGGCCGAGCGCCGCTGGGAGGAGGCCCAGATCCGCGCTGCTGTGCGTGGGAAGCCCGTGTCCGTGGGGAGGAGCTGCTGCTCGGCGCCTGCCGTGTCTGAGAACTGAGTTCTCTGCTACGCGGGGTGCCTGAAACGGGCCGATCGGGGCAGTGCTGCAGCAGCTCTAGCGCCGCGTACAAGATGGGGTGTATGAGCGCTGCCCGAAGCCTTGCCCCGCTGTCCCGAGGCTCCCCGTGTCCCCGCTCAGCTCCAGCCGGGCCGACAGGCGCTGGGAGGACCCAGCAGGGCAGGAACCGCTGCCAAATCATGAGCCGTTTGCTGGGATTCGGATTCTTTTTGCCGACTCGAGGCTGTCTTTTATTGCGCACTTCTAGACTGACATATCTCCTCCTTATCAGTGCCATTTTGGAGTCCTCACAAACCACGTCCCTTTAATTAAACAACCTGTTAATATGCCATCTAACTGATTCCTCCAAGGTTTGGATCTAAAGTTCAACACCTATTTGCTCGCTTCATTCCAGATCTTCATAAATAACGAATGGCACGATGCAGTCAGTAAGAAAACCTTCTCTACTGTCAATCCAGCAACAGGAGAAGTTATCTGCCAGGTTGCTGAGGGCGACAAGGTAAATGTTCTGTTGATGAGATCCATTCAGTTGCTATCTGAGCTCCCCCCTACAGCTCTGCCACATGCCGTGTTTGCAGTAATAAATGTTGAATCTACATCAATATTATTATCTAGTGCTGCTTGTGCCCTTCCTCGACTACAGCTTCCATAAGGATCCTCTGGGTTTGCCTCAGTCCAGTGGCTGGGAGGTCTGGGAGCAGTTGTGGGTGGATGTTGCTGTGGGTGCTATGGCAGGAATGTGATCCAGTCGCAGCATGGGAGGAGACAAAAGGTTTGCATCCACCTGGCCTGCTCTGTTGTGGTGTATGTGTGCAGTGGGAGACCATCCCCAGCCCAAGGAAACTTAAGAGAGAGTGATATAACTGTTCTGTGAGTTAGGTGAGGCCCTCCTAGGAGGTTGGCAGAGCAAAGATTCTGCTTCCCAGCATCGTGGGGCTTGTCCTACAGCCTGGATGCTTGTCTGTATTCCCCAAGGGGGAGGTGAGCAAAGGAAGCCCTGTTGTTTGCTTATCAACAAGCCAGAACAGAAAACCAACTAGAAACAAATGACAGTCCTGACAGGACAGAATGATGGATTTGAGGTACAGGATCAAGCAAAACATACTGATGAAATCTAATCCTGAAAAAGTGTCAAAAGCGGATTTCTAGAGCTTTTTCCTTGCCCTGTGCTAGGATGCAAGTATCGACCTTGCAGATGATATTGTGGAAATAACTTGACAATATTTGCACTCCACGTAGCTGAAATAACAGAGCGTAAGCACAGGTGGTGGCTGTGCAGCTGCTGCACCCATCTGTTCAGCTCCCCCATCCGCAGGGATGCAGGCAGCAGGAAAGCCGTGCGCAGAGGCTGCATTGCTGCATGGCACTGCCTGGGCTGACACTGGGATGAGTGATCCTGGGGCTGCAGCCTGTGAGCTCTACAGCTCCAGGACTGACGTGTGCCTTGCAATGGTTCATTCAGCCGTTGAGGCAGAAAGTCCTTGTCCCAGAAAGGCGGTCACGAGCAGCCACTGGTGCCATGTTTTCTCCAGGAGTCCAGGAAAGGCTTTAGTTGTATTCTGGGAAGGAAGGTGGGAGCTGGTTACCCTTTTCTCATGCTCTTGTCTGGACTCCTCTACAGGCAGATGTGGACAAGGCTGTTAAGGCAGCCAGGGCTGCTTTCCAGCTGGGCTCGCCTTGGAGGAGGATGGATGCTTCGCACCGGGGGAAGCTGCTGCATCGTCTTGCTGACCTGATTGAGAGAGACCGGGCTTATCTGGCAGTACGTATTGCAACCTGGGGCAGAGGGAGGCACAGATGGGTGGTTTGTATCCATAAGGTGTGGTGAGGATTTTAGCCATAGAGAAAACTGAGAGAGCTACGAAGGACAGGAAGGGAAATAGTTTGGGGAACCTGAAAGCTAATAGGCCAACGCACAGAACTGATCCAAACAGCAAACTGAGAACCAAATCTGAATCTATATGTGTGATTTTCCCCATCTCGTTGTATTTGTAGGCACTTGAAACTCTGGATAACGGCAAACCTTATTCTATTGCCTACTTGGTGGATCTGGACATGGTTGTCAAATGCCTCAGGTAGGTGTGGAGGCCACAGTGACAGCACAGTAACTCCTCCAGCCCCCCATTCCTGCCCATCTGTCCTGTGGTGGTTGAACCTCTGCACACAGACAGTAGATTTACTGACTGAGACGCTGTGGCTGACAAGGCTGGAGCTGACCTTTCAGTCTGTTTCTGGTTTCCTTCCTTTTTTTTTCTTTTGTAATTAAGAATGAAACTGTAATTCTTGTAACTTCCCAAAAGGTTTTGTTTTATGTGTATACTGGATTTGCATGGATAAAGGGATCTGTAATGCAGTACACAAATGACAAAATATACACCGTGCAAATCTCTGGCAAACACGTGAGAGACAAATGTTTGTATTTATTGTCCATTTTTATAACCACCTTCATGGGGAATCCTTGTGTTAGAATGTGCTTTATGAAGTGACTGAAGACAGGAGGAAACCAAACAGCTGAAGGAACATCTCTTGTTTTTTAGTGACCAGAGTCTTGTTTTAAATTCACTGACCAAAACTTTATTCTTGCCAGGTACTGTGCAGGCTGGTCTGATAAATTCCATGGCAAAACCATCCCTTTAGATGGAGACTTCTTCTGCTACACCAGACATGAGCCAGTGGGAGTTTGTGGACAGATAATCCCGGTGAGTGAAATGTATCAGTAGGTCCTGTGGCATTTCAGGAATTTGGTGTTATGATGAGGATTTATCTTAAAATGCAGGTTATCTGTTGTGCTAAGCTCAGCTTCGTTCTGATGGTAAAAACAAAGTTACACTTGCACCGGCTGGCAGGGATGTTACTTTGAAAGCACAGAACTACTCATTGATTTGATGGGCCATGTGTAACATTTACTTTGTATTTCCTGCTGCTGCAAATGAAAAAGGAACACAAATCTCTTTATAGGAGCTGTCTGGCCCAGAGGCACCCAACCGTTCAGGCTTCTGACTTCAGTGCTAGGAAGTAGTTTGTGTGACGAGGAAATACAACTAGCATGTGCAATTCTGTTTTATATAACGAATCTTTTCTCTGTAACTGGTAGCAAGCACAGCAAGGTGGTTTGTCAGCAACAAGGCCAAATGGATGC